GGGGGGGGGAGGGGCGACACCAAATAACATTTTAAAGGGTTTTTGAGGAGCTTTTCCCAGTTTAAAAACAAAACAAGTATTTTGAAACACTGAGTTGATAAGTTTCTTCGGGGGGCAACTCAGCAGTAACACTGTAATGTAAACTGTTTAAAAAAAAACAAAAAACAACACAAACCAGCTCTTTTGATATATCAAGGATTTTCTAGATGCTTCCTTTCCTTAAGCAGTGATGCCTGAAGTATTTTTGACTTTAAGTGACAATGACATTTCTGGCTAAAGGGCTGTTAGCTTTTAGCCTTTTGTTCAAATTTGGAAGAATCTGTGGCATGTCTCAGACTACCATGGAGCCATGAAATAACCTCAGTTGTCACAGTTTGCAGAGCAACCCAAAAGGAATTCTTGCCTCCTTTGGCCCCAAAAAGAGGAAGGAAAAAAAGGCACAACTGCAGTACTTTGAGGGCTCTGTCATAAGCCAAGTTGATAGTTGATTTCATTTGGGTTGTTAGTACTTTGATTGGATGCAATTTCCTATTTTCATAAGCAAAATCTTAGCTTTAGTAATGATTTGCATCTAACAGGCAACTTTCCCCAGTTAAACAATGCTTTCCTCAATTATTACTCATTCATTGTAAAACATTCCTTGCTTTATGTGATAATACACGTTTGTCAGTATTTTGAATATTACAATCTGTGCTCTCCAGTATCGTCCTTTAAATGCAGTTTAGAATAGCAAATCCAGTTCTCTGCTGTTAAAAAAAGCCAGTTAGTGTGTTGTCTTTCAGTATTTGCATATGTCTTGAGTTTCTGTGGATGTGTGATGCTTCAGGTAATGATGAAGGAAAATAAAACCGTGGGTCCCAGATAATGTGTTGCAGAAGGGGAACAGACACACCCGGTGCAGCTTTTTGGGGTCTGTCCATGTGTCTGGGGAAAAAAAGGATGGTTTCTGTTCTCCCACTAGATGGCCCTGTTTTCTGTCGAGTGGTACTGAAGTGGTGTCAGGAAAGGTGCTCAGAATTTTGTAGTGCAGTATGTCAAAGATTGAAAAGCCATCTCTGGCTTCCTAACCTGAGAGGCACTCAAGGATAATTATTGAGGAGTTTTTAGAAAGCTGTTAACCAGTGATGAATGAACTCCCAAAGTGACGAGGGACTAGGAAGGGTGGTCTTTTCCAACTAGATTTCCTGGCATGTTAGTTTTCCACAGAAATCCTTGACCTTAGGAGGAAGCAGCTTCTGGGATTTGACCTGATGTGAATTTAAGTATCTGGCTACAGCTGCATGTTTTCAAAGTGAATGATACTAGTACATGTATACAATTTCTCTTTCACAGGACACGTCTTCCCAATTGGTGGGGCATCTGTGTAAAATCAAGGAATGTTTTTGCTCTAAAGATGCTGTTCACCTTCTGGGTTTTGTCTTTAAAATCGTAACTCCTGTAAACTGAGTGTTTTCTTTTGTTTTTTTAGGTAAAAGGACCATCAGCATCTAATCCAAATACAATGGTAGATTTGTTCACCCCTTGCTCTCCAGGTGATCCTGAAGCCATAGAAATGACCTGGATGGAGGTACCAGGTGATAAATTACTGGAGCCTCCAGTTTTCATGGTAGGTATTCTTCTGCAGCATTTCTTTCTTGCTTTGCAGAACTCTGAAAAGACGTTAAGGTAAAGACTCTTTTTCAAATGGTTCTGCAAGGCAATTGGATAAGTTGCTTGTTTTCAGAAATGCCGGACATACCAGATAACACTTGAATTCCCAACATACAGTACTACGGTACCGTGTGCTTGTGAAAAAGCCAGCTCTTTATCCCTGATAAGCATTTCTTTCTTACTGTTCTTGGCTGCTGGCATGCAGCTGTTGTCCTTTCATCCATAGACACAATCTGGCTCTTCCATTGTTCTTTCACTTGTCTTTTATTCATTTAAAACCTTCAGGTTCCCTGCCCCATGACAGCTTTCTTCCCATCACTCTGTAGCATTAATATTGACACTGGGAAATGGAAAACTATATTCAGTGTAAATTGGGAAGTGGTATGCTGTAGGTAAATATTGCCCATTAAATACATACAAGCATATATAAATAAAATGTAAAAAATTCATGGATGTAATGGTAGTTTTGGTTAAATTTCATCACAGGTGATACAGCTCTTTCAGCTGTTTTCTTTGTGCATGTTAAAATACTTGCTTTGGTCTAGGGAATAAAATATGTCATTTTAAGACAAACTGAAATTTTTAGTTCACTGATTAAAAAATAAAAATGATTGCTGGACACTCATTCTGTATCTCTCCCCCAAGAGCAACAAAAGAAGATTCTGAATTTAATTACAATGTTTGAGGGAAGGACTTGATTACAAATCTGTGCTGCTGTCATTTCTTGTGTGCAAACAGTCCTGTAATGAATGAAAGAAACCAGTATATTTCATGGGGATCACAAAACCTCTAAAATAGTAGTCACTGCTTTGTAAATATAACTGTCACTGTATTTCAGAAAATAATTTTCTGTGCATATCTACATACTTAGAAAGCACAAAAGAATGTGTGCAGGTGCAGGCATGCCCTAAAACTTCTGCCTGCATGGTCTAAGCAGATTTTTAATTAGTCTTTCCTGGAATTAAACATAACAATTCCTTGTGTGCTCCTAATGATACCTGGGCTCTGATGCACTATAGTTGCATAGGCAGTTGTTTCAGTGTCCAAAATCAGTTCTTGTCCTTAAAAAGATCAGTTTTTAATTCATTCTAAGCAGGGTATCTCTAGTCTGATGAGACAAATATCAATTCTAGGAAATCATGATATTAACTTTTGGTTTTACCCATAATTTTATAGCAATATGAGGTGTTAGGCATCCACTTTTTTCAGTTGCCTTTGGCTAGGACTTGATTAGTTTTCTTGCCCCTCTTTATTCATAGGGTGTTTTAACTGCTGCTTTCAACTTCATAGACCTGTGATTTTTCTGAACTCCATTTTCTAGTATCTGAGCATTTATCTAGGAAATTGACTGAACTGAAGAGACAGAAATTACCGGTCATGAACAGTAAAACTTTGCTAGAGATGAATCACAAACTACTGTTCTGTATTTTTGGACTATGAGAGTACATGGGAACATCTGATTATTTTCCACTTTAAACTGCTTTAGTTAAAGATGGGTTGAAGATAGTAACTGACAAAATAAAAGGAAGTTTGGTTCTTTACTGAAAAGAGAGATGAATAAAACTTGAATGGATGAGCGGCCTAAACCTGAGGTTGTGGTTTTGTTATTAGAAAACTCACTGACAGTTGTCTGTATTCACAGGGTTAAAATGCTGCCTCTGTGCAGAAGTGTATAGGCTTACTTAAAAGCTTTGTGTAGATAGGAGCTCCTGTGGTCATCTTGTTTTAACAGGCTTTATAACGCATATTCATCTTGGCAACAAGATTATTAGCAGTGGTACTATACTTGTTTCTGAAAACACTTGTTTTCTTTCTTTTCTGACAGGCCGATATGCTCAGGTCGCTAGCTAGCACAAAACCAACAGTTAATGAACAGGACCTGGAGAAGTTAAAGAAGTTTACAGAAGACTTTGGTCAGGAAGGCTAAACCAAAGATACATGTCAAGCATTAGAACTTTTTTGCTTTCTTAAGTATTCTTGTGTCTTTATTGATGGCACTTCAAATAAATGCCAATAAAATCACTCTTTTCTTACTTTGCAGAAGGAATAGAAGATACCTTTGCAAAGACCCCTAAGCTTTTGTATTGTATTGTTTTCTTCAGATGTCTATTAAATGTCTTCTATTGAAAAATAATATGAAAATACAATTTTAGGGTGAGACAGCAAAGTGATGTGGTAATGTCTATTAAATACTAGAAAATGTTAAACTATTAGCTCAATTTTAGGTATTGGTACAAGTGAGTTTTAAACCCCCAGTAGGCTCAAAAAACCCTTTTTTGAGGGGTGGAAGAGAACATATTTGTTGGGTGTTTTCAGTATCAGTCAATCAGCCTACATATTGCTCTCATTTCATTTAGAAAAATGCAACAAAATTTGCTAATCAAGCATATTGCAAGTGTGGGTTAGCTATTAAAGTAAGAAGGAAAACACTGTGAGGATAAGACTACATGGGCCAGTACTTTGTTTAAATATTGATGGAACTGGTATTTGGCTTTTTCTGCTATGCTGTGTTAAAATTTTGCCTTAAACAGCAAGCTTTTATTTTTAACTCTGTTAGCTGATACACACTGTCACTATGCAATTTAGCAAAAGTTTGTTAAATGGAAGTATCTCAGAAGGTGTTTTGCTGGCTGTTCTTGTGGTTGGTTGGGTTTTTTTTTTCCAATGTGGATTTACTTTCTGCAGGAGTTTGACTAAAGTTAGAAAAAAGCATTAGTAATATCCTGTAAGATTCCACATGTCAAGGCTGGCAAGGTATAGGTAGTCTTTGGTGAATGTATGGGGTGTATTTTGTGAAACAGCATACTTTCACATGCGAGGAGAGTATAACGGATGTTTTAGCCACAGACTTTCCAGTGATAAATTAACTCAGAACCCTACTGATAACTATTGCATATAGGCTACATCAATTTAGTGCTTAAACTTTGAGAGAAGGCTGGCACTTTAGTACAGAAGTAGCACTTCCATTGGTCTTTTTCTGAAGAGCTGTAAGTTGATATGTGCCTGAATGTAACTTACAACACTACAGTGTCAGCACTGAGTTTGTGCCTTCTAAGTTTGCACTGGCTGTAGATACAAAACATCATTAGGATACCTAGAATACTCTATGTTCCATTATCATTGTACAACTCTATCCTGCATATGCTTTGTTTAACTTGCATTAAAAGAAATTTGCACATTGTGTGTATGTTATATGTACATATACACATATATGATCATCTTTTGATGGGGTTTGGTTTCCTTTGTGTACATATTTTGTGTACTTTATAAATCATAGGATGGGTGAAATTTGCTGTACTTAAATGAAGTAAAATATTATAGTACATCAGCTATGTTCTTTGAGTATTTCCTCAATGTTATGTTCAAGTATTTAATGCTTGATTTTTTTTTTTTTTTTTAGTCCTTGGTTTCTATGTTTAACAGCTAAACAAAATACTTAGTTAAAAATTCTTTGATCTGCAAGGTGCTGAGCTTTTGTTTACTAACATGACAAAACATTCTTTCCAAAATCATTGTTCCACACAGCTTTACCTTTGTCTTACATTGGAGCATGTAAATGTGAATCAGTAGACTGCAAATCTTTTTGTGGACCTTTGTGGGGGCAAGGGGGACGACAGGAATTCCAGTGTAGGTGCAGGCAACTATGGTTAGTAAACTTAATCCTCATTGCAGCAGGATTGCTTTTTTGTCATTGCCTCTTGTGAACACTTTAGAAGTGAGCCACATACTGGCAGGGCTCTCACTCAGAGGTTTGAAGCTACTCTCTGAAGTACTTGTCTCTTGACCTTTTTTGAAATGAGAGTCCTTACTGCAATCTTAAAATTCTCAGGAACTTTTTTTTTGTGGTAGGCTGATTTGTCCTATGGGTTTCCATAAGCTTAACTGTAATCTCTTATCTTTAATGTAGAAGAAAACTATACTGTATGTTTTAAATTTACATCTTGCTGCTTGCTCAGTTGTGGGATGACATCTGTAACAGAAGCATTAATGTTTGATGTTTAAAGTTGTTTTTAGAAATATATTCCAAATAAACATTGCTGCCTAGAATTGCAGCTACAAGGACAACTTTTTGGTTTGCTGTCTTTGTAAAATGGGAATAAATTAATATAGATCACAGAGCTTCCTAGCTAAGTTATCCCAGAATAGATGATAGCCAAATGGGGGTGAGGGGAGGCTGCAAAATCACTTTTTTTGTTTTCGGTGTTAATTGAAAATACTCTAAATTAAAGAACTTATGAAAGATTATATTTGCTTTACATAATCAAAACCTCTGTAAATACTGGATAAATTAGTTGTACATTTTTCATAAGGTCTGATGTATGACTCATCTTTGGCTAATTAGCTTACAAATTTTTTTCCTACCTTCTGGTGTTACTGCTTACTCTGACTGCAATATGAAAAAATGTCATTTTCCTTCCTGAGGGTAAAATAGTTTTTCAATTAAATCTGTTGTACATGTGCTTGTTGTGTTCTTCACAGATGGTTTCTTGACATTGACATTAAACTTTGGATTTCCTGACACTTGTGGTATACATCTCAATGCACGTATACTGATAGGGTTAGGAAAGCTCAGTAAATTAACTTGTATTTTTTCCCATGTTGCCTGACAGACCTCAGATTCCAGAGTCTTGTTTCTTCCCTGATTTACCTGTCGACTTTGTTTTGTCACTCTCTAGCACAACGAAAACGTACAGATCTCCTTTAAGGTTTTTTTGTTTGGTTGGTTTTGTTTTTCAGATTATCTGCTGGTCTTCAAATATACTTCTGTTTTAATTAGGGGAGCAGAACACATGTAGTTTAGGGAGATACTCTTGAAGTAGCTTTTGTTCGTGCTCCTGTCTGTCGGGGGTGTCTGATCATAGTTTGTTCTTTGTCAACAGAAGCAAAGAAGCTGCTGAACATTCTCTGGTCAGGTATTTTGATCTGCTTTTTGTGTTTATTTAGTCCTCTTCGTAATAAGAATATATTCTGACTTTTTTGTTGTTGTTTTTGCGTTATTTCTGAGTATTAGCTTGACAGGAAGCTTTCTAATAGTTCTGAATTTGTTGAAATATGCAGGAGCGTCTTTATTTTGCTGTTTACTCTTTCCTTCCTCCAGAATGACAACTTGTTTTGTGACTGGCTTCCATACATGTTTTTGGTCTTAACCAGATTCATCCTAGTAATCATGGTTGACTTAAACCCATTCCTGTAACTTACATAAACTATTGCAAGAACTCGGTGGACTGTTTGTTTCCTACTGCGCTGCTTTTCCAACAGATATTTAATTCTTATCAAAATATTGTTCCTTTTATTCTTGAGCAGGTGGCTTTTGTTGTAGCTCTTGTGGCATAGCTCCAGTGCTTTCCCATTTGATTTTTCTTCAGCTTTTTTTTAAACAGTATTTTAACCTAGTGATTTTATTCCACAAATCCTCTGTCGTCATAATTAGCTGTGTAAAAACTCTTAATTGTTCGTTCATCCTCTGTCCTGGCATTTGTGTACTAACAGCCCAGGTATTAGATAAGCTTGTCCTGTTATTTGTCTTTTGGTCCCTGTGACCTAATTACAATTCTTCCTCGCCCTCCCTCCCTCTGCATACACACACACACACACGCCCTTCTGATGGTAGCTTTTTGACTAGGTCACTGTTTTGTGCCATTTTCTGTTTACTCACCTTTGTATGCTTTATCCAACCTGAGAGGCTCCAACTTGATGAATGAATGCTCAAGGATACTTCTTCATCACATCAACTCAGTGTTTGGGGACACCAGAGTCCATCTGTCCGTACCATCTGTGCATGGTACCTGCCACATGGACAATCTGCTAGTCTTTCGCAGAAATACTTGGCGTTTTGGGCTCATTTATTTGGACTTCTCAACCATTAGTCATGAAAACAAAATACAATGTCCTGTCCGCATCATAGCAGGAGCTAAGTTCTCCTCTAAAAAGGCTTTGGTCGTGTTTTGAGACATCTCCAGGAAATAAGTCACCAACACCTGAGCGCAGGCCCGATGTTGATAATGAAGGCAGGGTTTTCTTTCCTGCTTGGTGACCTATTACCAGGCACTGTGCCATGAATTGGCAAGACTTGATTTTGCTTGCCCTCCCTCCTCCTCTGCTGCCTCAGCTAATTTAAATCTAAGCTATTCAAGGCAGGGACTTTGCTTTCAAACATTCTCAGTGTCACCTGTGTTCTGTAAACTATAAACAATAATTTCCTCTGACTCACTCTGTTGTTGGTTGATGACTGTCCACTGGTAACTTGTTAGAAAAATCCCAGCTGGAGTAGTTGTCTTCTGCTACTGCTCTGTCAGTGTCTCAGCAATAACGAGTCAACTAGGCGAGGGACTGAGAAAGTTGCTATAAATATCACCACCTCATACAGGAAATGTAATGGCAAATGAGGACTGTTATCTATAGCTGTGACTTGCGCTCTGGAAGTCTCAAGTGAATCGTTTGCCCAATAGGAAGCTAGGAAAAAATGAAAATTAAAACTTTATGAATTCAAATGATCGTTTCTCTTTCCTCCCCTCCTTGAAAGCTGGAGCATGAGCTGTAGCTGGGAGGCTCTGACCTGCCAAGGCCTTTGGGTTTTTTTAGGTAAGGTTTTAGAAAATCTGGAAAAGTAGCCGACTACTGTTTTCAAATGTGCCATTTAAAATGCCAGTTGAAATGCTCATGTTCTTGCCTGGCTGAGCCTGAGCTCACTTGGACTTTTAATGATGTTTTAATGAACTAATCACAGCTGTGAATTGCTATGTACGCAACTGAACAGCAGAGCAATTACTGTTTTTTTAATCTTTACACCTGCGCTTGTTTTGATGTGGACTTGTGTGTTTGTGTCCACCCTTGTTCTGTCTCTGTAATTTAACAATGTTTTCTTTTTTAGTTTGTTTTTACCTGCCGGACACCCTCGTGATGCGCGTGTCCCCCGTCAGTATGGAAACAGGCAGGTGGTTTGCCTGCCTGACAGCAAACCTCGGGCAGTCGCGGCGCAGCAGTATCTTCACTGTCCCTTCACCAGCTTCAGGACAGAGAAGGGATGCCTGTATAAATGGACACTGTCATTGCCTAAACGCACACAGAGGGCTGTGATACAGGTGCACAAGAGGAAGGTGCTGCGAAGTCACCTTCATCCAGCACTCGCAGCGCTGCGAGGTGCCTGCTCGTTCCAGGCTTGGGTGGGCTCAGTCCAGCAAGTAGCGAACATGTTGGAGCATCTGTGGAGGGTTTTTTTGGGGGGGAGGCATGGTGGTGGTGGTCTTTGAGCAGTCTGAGGCTCTACGAGGGGGTAAATGCATCTACAGAGACGTGTGTGGGGTGAGATGCTGGTCCGTGCCTCAGATCTCCCATAGCTGGCATAGGGTGGAGATGGACTGGTGAACGAGGGCAGCGGTGCCAATGCTCCGGGCTCCTATGGCTTTTTGTCCTGGTTTTGTCCTAGTTGTCAGCTGTGTAAAATGGTTTCCACAAACTTTGTGGCTACTGGGCTTATGCTCTTGGGCCTTGTGTTGTGTAAAGCGTGCTTGCTTCACTGCAGTAGATACTGGAAATGCATGATGCTTCTTAGAAGAAGAAAAAGGGTTTGATCAGATTTTTCCTTTGATGTGAAACGTTAATTGGCAATCTATGCCTGCCTCTTTCCTGTTGCTTTTGAGTAGTATTCTCTTTTTTTTGCTGTTCTAATATTGGGTTTTCTTTTTTTGTCTGACTTACCCTCTGTCCTTCACACCATTTTTTTTTTCCTCAAATGGAAGACAAGACACTCATTCCTTTTTAAAATCCTATTTCAAAGCTCTTTTATGTTCCTATATTTCTCCAGTGTTTATAACCAAAGCAAGCTTATACACAGCAAAGCCAAAGCTGACAGAGTGCCTCCGATTTCCCTCTTTCTTTTCCAAGGCCCATCTGTACATGCTGTCCTTCCCTTGGCTGACAGCAGGATGGCAATGGGCTGTGCTGTTAGAGGATGGAGACAGACTTGGAGGAGCGCAGGCAACTCTTGTGTATTTGATAGCAATGCAAGGGGGAGAAACGGTTGAATTGCTTGTTTTCAGCATGCTATTTTGTACTTGTTTCTTGGGTTAGAGGAGAACTGAGCTACGTACAAGAGATCTTCTAAACTTCCATGGTGTAGCAGCAGCTTCTCTGCACTGCATGCCACAGATAATTTATCAGGGACTGATAACAAGGGCAGATGTTGTGTAATTGCATCCAAGAAATAAACACCAGCCTCTTGCTAGTGCTCTGTATATCCAGTATGTTACCTGGAACTGGAAACAGGCTTAATTTATGTTAAAAGATTAAGCAAGCAATATTCTCTGAATTGCTTGGAAAGAGAACCTG